GAGCCAGTGCGGCGAGTCGACGTTAACGCGTCACTTGCCGGCAGTTATCGAACAGTTCATTGAATATTAACTGTTCGCGTACGAGTATTCTCGATGATTTTTCGAAATTGCCTACTGTGAAATAACCGAATCGGGAGTCTTAACCCTTTGCGCTCGACAATATTCTTTACCACAAATATTCCTTACTGATTCTGATAAAATATCAACGACATTTTTCGCATCTAACACAAAGAATTGCCTTACATAATTTAAGGAACAGGATTATTTTTTTACGATGTTCCACGTGTTGATCAATTACATAAAATTTAATATTGAATTTAAAATTTTATAATTTTGCTGCGCCGAATCTGATGGCGACTGAAAAGCGTCTTTTGAGTGCGAAGGATTAAGTACAAGAAAAATAAGAGAACACGATCGATCTCTCGTTATTTGAGTAATTGAATTACAAGTATTCAGCGATTTCGAGTTTGGATGTTAAAGTCGATCGTAAACGGTTAGTAAATATTCAGGGATTTCATGCAATCATTCAGTGGCAATAACAATCTCAGTATTAGATTAAGATGTCGTTTTCAGTGACATAATCTAATCACTCTTTTGGAGGCAACCGTTCACGGATTATACTGATTAACGTAGATTTTGATGTAAGATCGTTAGTCACTGATAAGCCTGTTAACAGCTGTCCGGAATGCGAGATGATAACGTCGATCGCGTAAAACCCTTTACCGTTCGTAAAAATGATCCGAAGACTCGCCGGTCGGAGGTAAATTCAGCATCTTTGGTGATTGGAAGTGGAGGGGGAGGATTAATGGACGCACGCTGCGATTCAAAAGCTTCGTAGGCTCCACGTAAAGAAGACTAGTGGGAGAAGAACTCAAGTTTTCGCTGTGATTAAATATTCGACGCTTGACATGAAGTCGTGGCCACGTTCCTGCCAGTAATTGGCTAATGCGAGTTGTGTTCATTGTTAACTCGCCAACCACGTCGATTCACGTGTTAACAATGCTATCGCGAACCGCTGTGTTTGGATTCTTTCACGTGCCTGTTGTTAAGAGACGAATCGACGAAACGAAAACTGATTATCTCTTCCTTGTTACGGATCTAGATCTGAAATATGGTATTCTCCCGAAAATCTGTTGAACCTACGGATCCATCGAGAATTGTTTAGCCATTTTTGTTTATTATTAACTAAATAAATAGTTAACTATTATATTTAACTATTAACTATTACCCAATGACATTTATCTCAACACATAAAAAATGTTGAAAAATTGAATTCTAAAAAGTGAGATAAAAGTTTTAAGGAAACATTTGTTTGATGTTCCCTTGATTGCAGGGTTTGATTCAGTGTAAGTATCCACGTAAAATCTGTAGTCTGTTAATGGATGTTTAACCCACGCGAGCTGACGCTTGCTTGTTGAAATTCAAACTGATTAGAGCCTCAAGCGGCTTCAACAGAATCCTGTTTCGAACATTAAGTTGCTCAAGCAGGCTTTTGTGTATCAGAATTCGAACAGTCTCAAGTTTCAAGCTGTTCAAACTTTCGTTTTTGAGATCGAATATAAAATGTTTAAAGATCTGTTGCTAGCTGTTGAATCGCTCCTGATTTTCTTCAAAATGATGTGAAAACATATAAAATTAAAAAAAATTAGTCTTTTTGTCACTTTGTTTTTAATTAAATGCTCATTACTGTTAATGAATGACTATTAATTGTACCACCAAATGTCGTATTTTAAAGTACATATACAACGATATATTTTTCAGTGGATTAATAAGATTAATTATTGAAAAAATTTATGTACTTTCGATATATCGAATTCTGTTTAAGTGTTAAAAAGACTGTATATTTATTTATCAAAGTATTTCTCTTCATAGATGAGAAATATGTAATCGTTTCGTGTGGTTGGTAATTTTCCGACAAGAGTACACGTTATGCCACTTGTTCCTTGTTTCCACTTGTTTTTATCAATGCTTACATGTCTGCACACTTGTTTACGTTTGATAACACAATATATTATTAGATACGCGATAGATTAATGTATTACACATTAATTTTATTCATAGTCATAGCTGAGTTGAAATAAGGACCGGGATATTTATAAACAGACTACGGATGTTTATGATACTACAAATTTTTAACTTACAGAAAACAATTAAATAAGGATCGATGTACTTCGTTGAAATTCATGAAAATCACTGAAGACCCGAATAAAATGGAAATCTCATTAAATTGCAATGTTAGAATTGCACAGAATCTGCAATTTATATATAAGTAAACAAATACATTTATCGTTGAGGGGTACGAGTTGGTTAATTTGAGATTGTTATCGTTAGCGCTACTTAAAATCGATACTGCTTTCTCAGCAATCCGACAATGCACATTATTAAATTCAAGTATATTACAAAACGTTTTGTTATCCTCCACTTTTTAATTAATTTAATTATGTTATCAATGAAAAGTAAAGAAATTTTTATATTCTAATAATATCGCTACTGCGACACATTGTGCGACATCACTTTGAAATGAATAATTCCAGATTTTCGAGAGATTACATTGATTACTTCTTTGGTTTCGGAATATATGGAATAACAAATTTGCTGCGAATCTGTATTCCATTAGCACAATAAAAGCAATTAAGATGAACCTATTAATTTCATTTTAACATTAATCCCGTGCTTTCGGTACATCTACTTTGCATTACAAAAATCGTCAATGATTAAAAATAAAAAGAAATATGATATAAATATCGAAATGTGTATCGAGATCCGCTAAAGTTAATAAATACAACTATAAATGTAAAAGACGATTAATGTAATGACTTCATAAGATTATTATGCACGAAGGATTAACACTATACAGTGAAACTAACTTTGTAATCGTTCAGTTTGCGAGACATTACACAACCATCTCTGCAACAAAAGTTACAATTTAACCCCTTGTCTTACGATTTATTATATATTTATTACGAATGAAAATTTACTATAACAATATTCATATATAGTATTTCCCTCAATTATAATCAACTGATAAGCGATTAACAATAAAAATTAAAATAAAAAATGGGAATATTTACATTGAATAAATTCAATTTAAACTTTTCACCGCGTGTCTGACTGGATGCAATAAGACAAGGGGTTAACAGCGGAGACTAGAACGAAGGTTTACCAGCTGATCTAATCGCAGCGAAATCGTTTAAACAGTACAACAGAACGTGAACTATAAACAACAGTTAAAGCTTGCGAGGGGTGATCGGGGAAATAGGTAACTTACACAAGTAAATTAACGACAGTTTTCTTTACACACATCGTACAAATAAATGGCCACTGCGTGACTACCAATAAGATTGCCATAAATCAACCCTCTGCGGACGAATGTCGTCATTCCGACAACATTAGGCTTCCCATATTTACAATACAAACTTGCAAACAAACAATCGAATTATCCAAACGGCTGGAGACCCACAGAGAAATATTTCCCTTTTTCTCCAGCATTTAGTAGTTCGATACACAAACTAGCTCCCCTGCGAAAGGTTCTGAATACAAACAACCCTCAAATTACAAAATCATATTATGCAATTAATAATCTAGTACATAAATCGCATGAGTACCTACGTTCTCGATAACATTGAATCATTGCATCCTTTTAATTGCAGGTCTCCTGCAACATGGTTTTGAATAACCCAGAACCAACTGACCGTGTCATTCGACGGTCGATGGTGCTTCTATAAAAGAATCCTCGTCCGCGAAGGGTTAAAACGCAACGAAAAATCTATGAAAATGGAAGAGGCAAACCAGAGGGTGGAAGCGGAAAATCGGAAAGGGTTAAAGTAGCTCCTCGTTCTCGTCCGAGACACCGTACATCTGGGGCCGGCGTTCCAGTAGTTGTTGCTCCCGTTGTTTCTGCGCCTGTTGCTTTTGAAGAAGCGCGATGCTGGCAGCTTTGTAGTTGATCGGCCCGTAGGATCGGTAGTCCACATCGGCGTAGTCGAGATCCGTAAATTCCGGCTTGAAGGGCTGCATAAACAAAACATTACAAAACGGATACCTTAGTCTGCTTCGATTGTACGGCGGTGGGTGTGTTCGGTTGCGTTTTCAACGTCGCGCGGAATTCGGGGGCATCTCCCTTTCACCCTCGTCTTTTAAGCCGGAAACGTTTCAACGGAACGACGGCAATTCGGGTTCAATGTACCAGCGAAGAAAGATAGGGGAGGGCGTTCTTCGTTGGACCGTTTCTAAGCGATTTGTTTCGCGAGAACCTTCCCTTGGCCGGACGAATTAAAATTACCCAGGACCCGGAGGAATTGATATGCTTGTTAATTACGCTCGTGAATATTCCAGACGAGCCGGCCGGATAAGGGGCGATGGACTGTTGTGACCCGGGAAAAATCCACGAATGATTCTTCGCGTATTTTTGGAGGAAATGTGAAACAAATGCTCGACTTTCGTTTTGGTATTTTATGACGTTAACCATTTGAGTGTTGTATACCCAAAACTTTCCGCGTGGAGGGAATATTTTTTCGCTCGTCTGAAATCGATGAATTATGTTAATTTATACAATTATGTTGTAATTAAATTGTAATTGTAATTTCTCGATTTCGCCAAATTTAATAATAGTAAGACACAAGTATATTAATCTCATATACTTATAATTATCACCACGACACGGTGTTTATTGAATCAAAGTCGCTTTCTAGTTGAGACTAACTATTTTGAGAATTTCAAGGTGGAGTTGTTTGGTCTTCTGTACTGGACGCGGGAGATGAAGATTGTTTCCGATTTAAGCGTTACTCGTATCACGTTGTGATGCGAATTCAATTTATATTGTCAATGTTAGTGCCACTGATGTTTAGAACTTTGAGAATTCAATGTATAGAAATGATTAATTTCCATTGATATTTTGATGAAATATTTTCATGTATTGTACAAGGTTTTGCGATCAGTGCATATGCAGCTCGAGGTGCATTTTGTGATACGACGAAAAGGGTGACGATATTTCAGGCAACATAAAACGGAATTGTAAAAAATTGCTGATGAATTCCTAATTGAAAGCTTAAATTTCGATTTTCTAATTAAGGGTTCAGTTTTGGTTTCCTGTTATTCGAAATAGTTTATTTATCAGCTAGAAAGTAATTTCCTTCCTAATGTCGCTTTAAATGGTCAGAACGTTTTGGTTACGACGTTCACGAAACTCAGCGCCGCAAACGGAGGACCAACCGGCGTGTACCGGGATTTAACGGATTTTTTAGCTGTTACCGTAACTGCGGTATTAAATCGCTAAGAAATCTATTCTCGACGTTAGTATACAGGTAGCAATTGCATTTTTCGGTTTCGTGCGCCCGAGGCTAGTTTAAGCTGCCAATTAAAGGTGGTATATGCAGACAGTACCTTCTGCTCGGGCTTTCACGTATAAATACGGTCCTTTATCGAGTGGGATTAATTCGATGCAACGTAAACGTATTTCTATTTGTACCGTATATAGCCAACTACCAGAACACACACCACGAAGGATCTATATACACATTAAACAATGTTCAAGGCATGTGAGTTCGCGTTAAAAAATTGTACAAGTAAATAATCAACAATGAATTATCATTTCTTGATACCAGGAAAATGGTATGTCATGTCACTTTATAATATAATAAATAACCCTTCGTGTTTATTACTTTCTCTTTAAAATCTTCTCAACAAGTCTGACTCGATGTCCAAGCAAAGGGTTAGTAAACAACAATAACTAAAAAACAAAACAATAAAATTGAACAACATCGGTACAAATGTACACAAATTTAACAATGTTTTGATTAATATTTTTGAAATTACATCTTTGCTTATCTTTGAGAAAAAAGTGCATAGAAAATATCGAGATCTTCGTATTAAGAACATTTTCCGTGCAACTGGAGGAACGATCCGAGCAAATGATATAATCGCGGCAAGCGCCAAACGAAATGCTCTCCGATTATCACAAGGCTGCGCAACGCGACAGCGGTTATTAATATAAAATGTTATTGATATTAACATTCCCCACCGTCTTGGAGGGATATTAGACCCGTCGGTTTGCCGGCGTTTGCTCGTTGATGGAGCAGTTTCGGCGATAACTCGAACTCCGGCATGCACAATTAAACGCAGGAAAAGCGATGTCGTTATTTCAGCGGTAAATCAACGCGTTTCTAACCGGCCGGTTCTAAACTTTCATGAGCGCGTGTAGGTGTTGGACGAGTTTATTGTTCGGCGAATAAACCGTGTTACTGCCGGTAGAATTTTAATGGCCAATCACGCGGACGTCGTTCGTTAGCGAACGCGATAACGCGAATCACTGCTTTGTTCATTACTGATACTTCGCAAGTGTCATACCGAGCCATTCCGAACGAAATTTAGTAGGTTGTACAACGATGTTTTCGGCACGGTGCCCGAGCCGCGCCACTCTTTCGCGCGTTTCCGGTACGCACCGATGAGAAAGGAATGGTTTCAATAGAGAGGCACTATTGCAGGCTTCACGTTTTGTTACGTTGCCGTTTCGCGCGGCAATATAAGACTATTTTCAGATTTCCATGCGTCCACGCGATTGCATTAGTCGCGGGCTACAGCCGTGAATCATTGGGTTGCAATAAGTGCAACATTCCTGGCGAAAAGTATTCGCTGAAATGAACCTCGGTAGAAAATGTTTTCATTGATGATAAAGGGAAGACGATGGTAACTGGTGTGATGCATGCATAAATTATGATGTAACTTTTAAATATGGACGCGCGGTCTTACAGACCTCTATATGAAATATCGTGAATTTTGAAACCAGTGAAATTTTCGTTATATAGTTGATGCTGTTGCTATGTAGAGTTATTTAAATAAGTAAAAACAAATAAATACAATAAATTTTGTTATTAGTTACTGCGAACGAGAATATATAACATTGATCCGTAATTTTCAGACTTCTATTCAAAATAACCTATTCCTGATTTCTTCTTTTTGTAATTATTACAAAGATAAGAGACGTTTCTTGGAGAAGTTATTAAAGAAATTGATTTAACAATACGCAATTTAACTGCTTGATAGTTCTAGTGTTAAAGGTTAAATTCACGTCCATACTTGAAGGTTAACCTTTGCTGTACCGACGATTTTGAGGACTTATGACCTTGGTTGAGATCATGCGGATCCATAACTAGATTCAGCTAATACAGATACTGTGAACTTATATTTTGTTGTTTTATTGCTCCTTTTTGTTACTAAGGAATGTTATGTTAATGGAATAATTGAATAATGCAAACATTGTAGGAAAAATAATAGTCATCAGCTTAGGCGTGGTACAGCGAGGATTAATGTAACGGTGAATACATCTGTTACTTTAGGAAAGTATGGAATATGAAAGTGGAACAGCGCATTTATCATCTTTTTAACCACAGTATTAAAAGTGCGCTTAGTCACGCGATTTAGTCATTATTAATTTCTATACCTTATTTCTTTTTTGTGTACATACAATTTTCCGTTTTTAACATGTGTACAAAAACATCTTTTAGTGATTATGATTGCAACTTCAATCGAATACTTTCTGCTAGGAATAGTATTTCTGATGGTGACTAAGTCGTAATCGTGAAACTTTGAATTGAATTTTTAGATCAATCAGTTTGTTAACGAAGTATTTTTTTCAATAAAGTACCTCAATATCCTTTCCTTTGATCTTTGCTTGTTCTGAACGAACTAATATATTACAACCCAATAATTCGTTTAACTCTTTGAATACCTGAACGGAGCAAGTTGTGAAAGTTATGTTGCTTTGTCTAAAAATCATGAAACAGTAACAGTTAATCCTTTGCACTGGAAGAATTCTTACAAAAGAATGTTTATATACAATAGATAATTGGGAGGGTTAACTAAACAGAGATGCTGATAATGTATTACATTAAATTGGTGCACATTAAATTCTAATAAACTTTAAATGAATTTCATTTAATTATAACATCAATATCAACTTATTATATCAATATTATTTAGTATAAATATAATTTAATTTATAATATTAATAATTACTTACGAAATTTTGTATACAAAAATTTGTTTCCTTTTTCTACAAATCTTTATACCGTTTCTACGAAGAAAATGTATAAGTTTGTTGCAGGTCGAAATTAAGGCAAATTCGTTCATAGCATTTTTTATCGTTTTCTCTTCGTGGAATTAGTATTTACTTTAAAAAATACTGACACGTCGGAACGTTTATGTTTGAGTGCAAAGGACTAAAAACTACGGTAATGAAAGCCGGCTTCAACATACAGAGTTTCGTGATCTACGTGTTGGTACGTATAAATACTGGATTGGCCGCCATACTGACAGACACGTCTAAGCAATACGACGTAATTCATAGAATGCAATGTACCTACAAGGCATGCCGGACGCCAATATGTCCTAGAAAATGTACGTATCGCTCTTTGTCTGCGGACCCTCCTATGAACAAACATTTAGATACAATTGGCATGTATACCGGCAAAAATTCGAGTTTCGATATTTACTTTTCATTCTTCTAATTTATTGTTCTCGTTTTCCGTGAATTTCAGACAAATTAATTCTTTTCATTCTTTTTGGATAAGATACATTTTGGCTTACACTTTCTTCGCAAGATATTACTAATAAATAACTCCTTACAGTTTTTAATGGAAATAATTCAACATTTTGTTGTCTTTTTAATAACATATGAGCGATTTTTAGGTGACTTGGGAATATATTCAGAACTGAAATGCCTAAAATAATCCGGTATTGTGGTTCACTTGCATTTTCTACAATTTTATTGAAATCGTTCACGATCCTGTCTCTCTAAATACTGAATCCGTGACGTTTTTACAAACACATCGCGAGAAAAGGTCAAATAAAGATTCCGTTTACGGAATATACATATATGAATGTTGCATTATTTTAATAGTTGAAAAATTCCAATTCACCCTCCGCAATGTAGAGTGAAGAGTCTGGTCGACAAATTGATATACTTACCAACAAAATGGGCGATGCGACGACCAAACAAACGAAAAACGAACAAATGTAAAACCAATTAATTATTATCATTAAAAATATTACATTTATGAAATAATGTAAACAAGCTTTGAAAATCATTTTGAAAAGCAACGAAAAATGTAAGCAAAACAAGAACACAAAAATGCAAACAAATACGGCATGCAGTTTTTTTTAATTGAGCGGGAAAAGAATGTGTGAATTAATAATGAAATAATGGGAAATAAACAAAATGGATTCATTCGTCCTACCTGCATTTATACAGTGAACTGAAGATATAAACCAAAAAGAATTCGTTGAGTATGATAATTATGTATTAGTGGCTTTCATCTTGGACCTGTTACATTTGATGACGTCATAATATTCATTTTCTTCAAAAATTAATGTGCTTTCAAATGACTAATTAATATCTTTTTTAAAGAATCCACACTGTCAGTTACAGTAGCTAATCAGCTTTTGTCAATGTACTTCCCACTTATGAAGAAGACTGTTTAACAAGTATTAAGGAGATCGTATAGTAAAAGGTTTGTACAAGTATAACTAGTATAATGAAAACTATATTATTTATCAAAGGGTTTTCTGAAAAATTCCTATAAAATTTCATCAAACGATTCAAAAGAATTGTGATAAACAATTAACCCTTCTTCCGTCAAGTGCATATTTTAACAACGTAATATGAAACGAAACCAAAGAAGATGTTGCAATCCTTTATTATCAGTTTAATGTGCATTCAGTGTACCCATAAATCCATTAATTTTACTATACCCAATTTAATAATTTCCCATCTGCGTAAAGTTTCGCGTGTGAAACTCCTGAGACTTTGAGTTTATTCATCAGCTCTAACTCTGATGTTACCTATCTGCAGAACTGTAACTCTTAAAAACGACTTCCTCCCTTGCTCCCATTGAAGGGTAGAAGCAAGAGCTATGCTATACAGCATCGCAAAGTACAGTTGCCCTCAACTTCGTGTCAACTGGGGAATTCTACTCTGTAAACCAACCCCCCAGAGTAAAATATTGAAGTCGAGATACATCATGTTGGTGTATGTGGTTACAGTTGATGTATGAACAGTAGAAGAGATTTTAGAGAAACCTACATACACAACGTTGTCACAAAATTTTGTGACTGACAATGACCTTCTTCAGATAGCGTTGTTTAGGCTAGCGATCATTATTACTTCCATACAAAGTGAACCGTATAAAATGCTATAAGCTGTTTGAAAAACGTGCTCCAAGCGACAAATTTTCGTTGTTCACTTTTTTTCATGTTGCAAGTAGTGCCTTTATGGAAAAGTATATTTATGTTCATATTACATATTCAACTCGTGTAATCAGACTTTTAATTTTATGAGAGAATTTAGTATTTTAATTATATTGAGATCAAAATTGCCCTCCTCGAAGCACGCGAACTACTTCCCAGCTATCGAATCACCGATAGAATCTTTTCTGTAGACCTCTTGAACATGTGCAGCAACCTTGCTTGGAAATATCGGAAATCTTCGTTTCCTCCTACTTGCAATTTCATCCTTTTTTAAAAGCTTTAATCTAAATTCTTGATTGAAATTAAAAATGTAGAATTAAAAAGGAAGAGTTTATAATTAACATACAAGTAATATTTAACATGAACACAATGGTATAGCAAAGTAATTTGACATTAACAACATTGAATGTAATGATACTTTTTTCCACAAAAATAACTACAACCAATCATTACGGAAGTCCAAATATAAACTGACAACGCAGGAAACACAAACGACCTTAACATGTCCATTCTAACCTCGGAAGCTAATTTTTTTACAACACTATATACGGTTCTAGCACACTGCAACATTTTCCTTAGACATTTTTCCTTATGTCCAAGAAAAACAGAAACAATCGGGAATTCCTGATAGCTCCCTCCATATACTCAACGTACTTAAGAGAAAAATAATTCTCTCAGGTAAAACCGTTTTCATTCGAGCCACGAATTCCCCATTACTCCAGGCCGAAAGCTTAATACTCAGAAAAACCAAAGAACTGAAAAAAAATGACACAAACTCTCTTCCCAAGATTCCATCAGTCTAATCGATCTCCTTAATACCATGCAGTCCATCAGCACCGTAGAACTGAGACAGCGACTCGATCGCGCCGCGGAGGATTCCTAGTCGCTCGCTACTGACCTTTCAGACATCGATCTCCTGACCGACGTCCCGGAAGTGCAGCTCGGCGTACTGCATTATCGTCGGCGCGGACGGCGATCGTCCGTCACCGAGATTCGACGAGGAGGACAGTCTTTTCGATTTATTGCGGGTCTTGGTGTCGGCGGGCGGATCCGCGTAATACGTGCCCTCCCCTTGGCAACGATTCGACTGCCGTTCCCAGATCTGTTGCCGGCCGGCCGGGTTCAGCCTGTGATACTCGGTCGGGCACTCCGCGATGTTGTCCTCGTAGTAATGGGGATAAGAGATTTTACATGTCTCGGGTATACCGAGCTCCTGCACTTGATGGAAGCTGGTCTCGCAGGCGGGCGTGTTGAATGCGTCCGACCGCCTTGCCTCCGATCGCCTTTGCTTCTGCTTGCGATCGCTCCTTTTGTGCTTCCGGTACTTCTGGCCTCGCTCGTTCGACCGATTCACGTGGCGGCGCGATTGCTGCTGTTGCTGCTGCCTCGCGTCCTGGTTCGCCGCGTAGGTTTGTTGGTCCTCGTCCGGATGCACCACGGACAAGTGATTGACGGTCTCGTGATGCGGCAGGGTGGACGGACGGTTGTTAGCGTGAACGAAGGAGTTTTGCAGGGGGCTAACTATCGAGGAATGGTAGAGGCTGCGCGTTAGTGGCAGTGTTAGTTGGCTCGAACTGTTGCTCGGTAACGGGTAGCTGTACTGCTGCATTTCCTGACGGTGTTGCTGCTGATAATGTTCTTTGTAGTTGTATAGGCTGTCGGTCTGCAACAGGCATGGGTTAGTCGTTGGAAGTTCAGCCTGGGGTCAGTGGGCCGCGCGTGGGTACACGTTAGTGCCGGTACAAATCGTGAACATGAAGGAGGTGAAATAGTATCCCGATCGTTACGCTTTGTCGCTTATGTAAAGCTTGCTGAATTGGTTGCCGCGTTCGGTGAAATGTCTCGGAGTGAAATTTGTCTTGTACGCTTGCTATATTGTGTTTACGTCTCTCCGGGATTTAACTATTGCAAAAATATTATTGTTTCCGGAGTGATTCATTTATAGTTTTATATTTACGTTTTATAACGAATACAGTGAATCTGATTTTTACTGTATACTTTCTACGAATTTGCAGAATTTCTAATCAATTAACATAAATAAGTTAAAATTATTGTTATTCCAACATTGTTTAGCGCGAGACTCACTTTTTCTCTTTAGAGATGAAGAACAGAATGTAAAGGTGTGCGATACTTATTCACCTTCAACTTGCAAATTTGTCTGTGAAATCTACTAACAAAGAAATGTATGGAACGTAATGTAATGTTGCACCGTAGGGACGAATCTCTTTGATTTCGATGATTTTCAATAATTTAAAGTCATCATCGTTGCACACATTTCTTAGTTGAAAATAGTGCAGCACGGAAACATCTTTCGAAAACTTTCTTTACCAGAACGATTCGGATGTTCAATTAGTAGAATGAGATTGCTACGGTCTTCGATAAAAAGCATCGTGCGGTGTCTGTAAAGCCTCCGAAATAATATTTTACCTCCTTTTATGGATAAGGTTTAAAAGCTCACCCTTAAAGCGCGCGTGCGCGCGTGTTTGTGTGGTGGTAGCTGTGTGAGTGAGAACTTACTTGATGCGCGGCCGACAAACACAAGGACGGTCGCTACATAGGTGGCCAGATCCAGCTTAGCAGGGAAAATATGATTTCCGATTATAATTCGGCTTCCAGTAACTCTACCTCCTATTTGCTCGAAGCTGTTGTTTTATATCTATTGCGGACACGTAAATCGTACTCATGCAGTCGGTGCGATGCTAATTATTACGTTGGTGCTTAAAGGATAAGGATATACTTTGTATGCTCGATATTCGTTGCTGCTGCATTCTCTTTGCGTACATATGTGTCTTTTAATCTCGAATGCTTTGGCGTCTTCAAAGGAATCGCTTCTTATGTCATATCGCAGAAAATATAATTATACAATATTCATTGATGCGTCGCGGTCTAATTGGTTACTTCTGATGAATCACTTGCCTGCTTCAAGGATTATGTAAATTGGAATGCATATCCAGGAAATTATATAATTAACACGTTTTTATTTTTGCGAAGGATTATAGGTTCGATCTGACATTGTTTAAAAATATAGAAAAATTATAATAATTGACAACGGTCCGGGTTTGTAATCTATAATTGTGCCTATTAAATATATTTAAGAATTATTATGAAAGAATAATGTTATATCCGTCTAAACCTAACGGAATGATTCGTCAATGAGCACGTGTTTTAGAAGCATGAAAATAATGTATATAATAATGTTAACTCGTTTTCGAAAATTAATTTCACTAGTAACAGATATAGTTCAATAAGTTCTAGTATATTTGCAAAATGATTTCCTTATTCAGCATCGTAGCTCAATCGAAATACATATCGTTTACCTGGATTCAACAAACAGTACATGATTGTAGAAACATTATCTGGAAACATTATCTATAAGACGTCTGTTCCCAAGAACAGATTAAACCTATTCTAAATAGTCCCCCGTATATACAGTATGTCGCTATAAATGTACTATTACATCCCGCTGTATCCTTCTCAAAAATGTTAATCATTCACCCAACGACAATTTTATTGTTAGATTCCAGCATATCGTACGCAAAGACACCCGACTAAAATCCACAAAATTTGAACAACATATAAAAATTCCACAGTTTTGTATCATCGCATTCATTCGTGCGCGTCCCAATGAATGAAATGAATTACACCTCAAACCAAAAACATGAAAAACAATCAGTTAATCAAATACCATAGTTCCAATACTCCCCGAGTGACAACAACCATAAAAACAAAATCCCAATCCCATCTATCCCGGTGCGAAAAGAAAACAAAAAAGGTAAAAAAATTAACCAGAACAGGGAGAAGAGCACACGAGAACGATTCAACTACTCGATCTAACCCCGATCGATCCAGATTCGTGTCTGGCTGAGGCAAGAACGGTGCGACTTCTTTGGTGCGGCAGCAACGTTCTCGAGCATCGAATGCGGGCACGTACTACCAAAGAACATGAGTAGTCGACAAACCTTTGTCTTAGGCAACGAAGCGTTTTTTGGCGGGAAGACGGGAAGGGGGACGTTTTGATAAGTGTGTTTCGAGGGATCGGTTTTCCTGGATTTCCTCGGCGCTGGAACTGGCGGTGTGGTCGGCGGTGGCAGCGTTGGCAGCGCTGGGGCCGACGTAATGGCCGCTACCGGCGTAATGGCTGCCGCCGCCGCGTCCGACCGGCTGGACTGCACGGATTGATGGGTCGTCAATGACGGTGTGTCCGGCGTGACGATTGTCGTCAACGTGCTGGTGCTGCTGTTGTTCTTATGCGGACACTTGTATATCGGTATAGCGTAAAGTTGGTACTTCCTGTTGTGCGGGTGGTTCTCGTGTCGCCGGCAGAGCCTCAGCGAATAGAAGTGCGATCGTTTATGCTTACGGCGACGCGGCTTCAAGCTGTTGTACTTTGGCACAGGCGAGTTACCCCTGGGCATGTTGTAATCGCTATAGTGCGGACCTAGGTGGCTCCTGGTCGACTCGTACCCGGAACTACCGTCGCAGAGCGATGTCGTTCTGCTGAGCGGCCGCGAGCCGCAGCCAGCGCTCATGATCGCGTGATGCAACGTGCCATGCAAAGCCGAAACTCGGGCAAACATAGGGGATACCAACTAAAACAAAAGACAACCGACGGCTACTTATCTATCGACCCCGACTCTTCGCGCTCCAGTTCTTCGTTGCCACCGACGATCGACCTTTGCGTTCAGCTACGATTGAAGATCCTCGAGTTCGATCGTTGTTTTTTCTTATTAAATTTTTACGCGGAAAGGGGAGAATTTTAATACGGACGGAGGCTGGAAGCACACGGAGATTTTTAAGGGAACGTAATTTTGAATAAGCTATACTCGGATGGTGGCTTGAACATTGATTTGAAAACTGATTTTCTTGTAAGAAAAAAAAAGGTACCTTTATTAAGTTTAAAAGGGGGTAATTGTTGTTGATATTTTGAAGTAAGTTTGGTGAGTTTCTTTTAATATTGGACATAAACTCGTGAGTTGTCGATCAATCCCTTGACTTATAACTTTTTTTTGAACAGTCTGGAATTGCTTTGTTATTAATTTTCTAGTAGGGAAGCGAATTATATGCTTATAGTAGTAAATTCATTAGAAAACTTTGCTTTATCATGATATTTGAATCGTACAATATTAAATTCATTGTAAAGTATTCTGCATTGTAAATAAATCACTTTAGCTTCGAATATTTCCAACTGCTTACGCCATTGTCGCGTCAATATCTACAATTATTAATCACCAAATTTATGCTTGCTTCTTTAAAACACGAACCTTCTCGCGTTCTAATTGAAAAGCCAGAAATATTCAGAACAATCGGGACAATTCAACGGGCAACAGCAGGTCGCGCGAAGCACAAAGGATCAAATTCGATATTCTTGAAAACGGCGCGATATGATTAAATTCGACGAGAAACGCGGGAAGTCACGGGTTTACAAATCTTGTTCGTATTTACCAGAATCTCCGAATTCGTGCGAGTCATAACGAACGCGGATCCTGGAAAGCGGAGAAGACACGAGGCAGTAATTGAGATCACGGGGCGGTTCAAAAAAAAACAAAGGAAAATAAAAGGAAAATAAAATTCGCTCGCCAGGCATCAGCGGTTATTGTCGTTCGAACGTCGACTGTGTGTCGCGGGCTAACAAACAAACAAGCCGGGGCTGGCTCGAAATATACACCGGCAGCGGAGCCGAGGTCTGGTCATCGAGACGGCTATTGTCAAGTTTGCCTTCATTTCAATCTCAGCGCACAGAATTGCTAGCTAGACGGGTTCAAGGAAAATCCAAAGGCACTGGACGGATGAGAACGGCGGAAGGAAACGGGGCGAACGAAAAACGTAACGAAAAAATGGGACAGGAAGAAATGCGAAAAAAAAGGAGAGCTGGCAACGCTTCTAGCGAGAGCATTAATTCCGTTGATCCGACATAATCGCACCTACCTGGAGGGTCGTGGGTCATCGTACCGATAATTGTTGAGCGTGCCACTCGTCGAGGGCGTTCGGTGCCTCGTAAACAGTCCAAGTGATCGATATTTTCGTTTCAAGGTGACCACCTCGCGTCACGCAACACGCGCGTCCGTCCGGCGGGTTTATGACGGCGGGTCGTGATCAGCGAAATTAATTTGTTACGCCGCGGTGCTGCAATTCCGACACCGCGCCACTATGGATGCGACATCGATCAAACGGGTCGCGGTGATGACGATTTATATTACGTTCGACCGTTCCAAATGTTTCTCGATGGACACACTGGACACGACGCGACGGGTCGCGGTTTCCACGGGTTACGCCTGAACATCCATTCATTAACCTCACCCCGTGCGATCGTTCGTTGCTTCTGCTTCATTAAGGACTGTTTCCACGGTGCTGCCCCCTCCCCTCTCTGTTGCCATTTCAGTCTGCGGCACGTATTCCACGCGTGTTTGAAAAGTCACAGGGATTTCGACCGATTATCCGACCGATTTCTGCGGCCAAAAGGGCGCCAATTTTTTTCGACTGTGTGTTTGATCAAGCGACGTCGGGCTTGTGAGCTTTTCTTCTTCGATCGTTGTGGAGATTAGTATGCCGTTCGTAACGTACAATAGAATATATTAGTCGCGATTTGTAGTATGTTTGTGACACGTTGAATGCCATAGGGGTCACCGGTGATCCTCAACCAAATCGACTTACTATAATTCACTCAATTAAACAATGATCATTTGAAAATATTATAAATAATGCTCCCTAATGCGGTGACATTCAGCTAGATGAACGTGCAATAATAATAGTTCAAATTAATCAACTGATTTAACCGTTTGGATGCTAAACAACTTTTATGGATATTTACCAAAAATGCGAAAGTGACTGGGTGTGTATGCAAAAAAATTAATAAGAGTACTTATCTAATGAGATCACAAATATTGTGTTATTACAAAAAAATATCAAAAAATAACATTTATTCAAATAAAGTTACTTTGATTTATTTCTTGAAAAACATAGTAAGAAAATTATAATTGATACTGATAAACAGAAGCGCCTCCGTGCTCTCCGCAATTTTGGCACAACACAAGAAGCGCTATAGCGCTCCTCAGCACTCAAACGGTTAATATTATATTTTTTTCTTTTTATGTATTTTGCTCCATGAAATTGTGCGACATTCAACGTGTTAACCCATTAAGTGCTGAATACTCCCAGCCAAAACGTTCCGTGAGGCATATTTTTTTCCTCGTCTGAAGATCGATGGATTATGTGTTTATGTATTAATTCATATGATTAAGTAAGTCGTAATTAAATTGTAATTGTAGCTCCTCAGTTTCACCAAGCTGAATAATGCTAAAATTAAAAAGATCGAAAACTGCATATATGCGCCCATAGTCCACAGCGATGACTTTCGTCGAACGTATATATGCATCTATTCCACTCAAAGGGTTAAAGATGATATACTCTTTTATTGGTAACGATATACGGTGATTATTGCTTTTTGTTGATATTGCAATTGATGGGGAAATGATTTTTCGATTCAAAGAGAACTAAATTTCGAAGTTAAGGATTGTTTAAAATTATAATATAGCGAATCTATATTCTGGATAGTAGCTTAATCCTTCGCCCTACGATTTATTTTTCAGTTACGATCGACACAATTATTTTGCCATTAATAATTTATTGAAAAGAGAGACAAATTTTAGGTATATTCTATATCTATGTTTGCTCTAAAGTATAACAGTTGACAACAGAAGAGTATTATTCAATTTGTATTCACAAAAATTGAGTAATATTTATGTTCATTAGGTTCCGTTTAAAATCTTCATCGCTCAGTCTCACACGTTATTAAAAGGCAGGATTAATTAGAGGTGAGGATATTCTGTGGTATGTTCCTGGAAAGAAGGGACAATAGCTGACCATCCTATTCCCAGTATATACCCTAATGTTACTAATCTAATGGACAGCTATTGTGATAGTATCTTCATTCCTTTGGGGTGAGACGGGAACTGTATTACTCCCAATAATATTTTTTTCATTTGCAGACGATAATGGATAATCATTAATTAAATAATGAAGTTCAATGACAGGTGATATAATTTAATGAAACTAGTTGGTTTGTTCTATTATTTCTTATCTCTAAAAATATTGTTGATGTATTGATATTAAAATTGTATAGGACCAATTGCATCGTTTCAAATTTATCAGAGGAGTGGCGTGTAAAATTGTATATGTTAATCGTTCATCAATTAGCATATTAGGTTCTTCAGATCGAACATATATTATAACGTACGCCGTGTTATCGCTTCAGTATCTAATAAAATATTAAAATTATAATAGCTAATATATACTCTTGCTTTGATCCTATTTCTATCAGAAAAGTAGTATACTATCACTATTTTATTCGTAACGATGTTACTATTAGTGATATATTGAATGGTGGTCCTTCGTTGTTAAGTAAGTGGACATAATGTTGTACAAGTAAAATTTGTAATTAGTAATAAATTTGTATTAATAATAATTTTGTAAAACTCAGGTCCGCAGGTTAATCGCTTGAACAGCTTCAGTAAAAAGAAAACTCGCGATTAGTGTCAATGTCATAGGACAAAGAAAACAATACTCGAACACAAAAGATTTACGACAAAGGTGCAGGGTACTGTGCGACAGATAGAGCGGAAGCGCGACTCGGTTTACGACCAAGTGTCAATTATCAGATTTGCAATTATTGAAATGGATGTCCATTCGCAGATCGAATGTAGTACATGGTGAAAGGGCTTTAAATGACGTCGCGTTGCATCTTTGATCAAGCACTGACTGTTTCGTGTAATCACAGGTGCCCCGGCAGGGTGGCGTGAAATGGAAATTGGCCAACATTTATCGATTTGCTGATAATTTAGCGTCTACAGGAAATTGATCTCCGTCTAGGTGTTGCTTTCAAAGCGCGAAGGCGCTAATGATATCAAATGACCATCGCTGACGGCCGTGAATAACGATCCCGTTGGACCTCAGTGTTTATAAATGTCCCATAATCGTTCCTATTATGCGAAAATGCGAACAAGACAATTTAAGCGCCGATCATGTAATCCACTTAATTATCAAAAATTGTTTGCAATTTACATTTCCTCTCTGGATTTCCGAACATAACGGCAGGCACTATAAATCTCAACTGAAAAGATAATTAATTAATCAAGCGATTGCTCGATTAAAAAACAGAAACAGATGTAATTCATAAACACGTTCAATAATTTTTGAACAATTTCTAAACACATTATATGTATGATTTTGTTGAAATTACAATATACACTTTTTTCCTTCAATCTTCGCTCATGAAAAAGTATAGTTCTAGTTACTTTCTTGTACACTCGTTTCCAAAATCTCGGTCTCATTTATTGGAAAGTTTGTTCGAGGGTGAGCGATTCCTCCCACGTAATTTCCCCTAGTTGGCAGTGCATTTTGTGTCACTGCATGAACTATAACAACGACGATACTTTAACAGGCTGAGAGGATGACAGAAGAAGTTCCCTTCCGTGTCTATTTCCGAAATTTGGACCACTCCAACGAGAAAGGATCAGCAGGAGGCAACTTTTATTCATTGTTATATTCCCTTTGATGTCGGAAACGAACGGCTGGCGCACGTTGCCAATTTTAA